CAAAGCATGTTTCAGCATAGAGTAAATGAGGCAGCCAATCAGAACAGAGGTCATTTACATATATCACTCAAGGCAGGTATTAAGAAATTCCTGTAAATTAAATCATTTAATAAACTCTTGATGTTCCCAAAATACTTGTGTGGCATGCATCTGTCCCCCTGGGCCCTGATGATGGCTGCGAGAGCCGGCAGGAAGGTGGGGCCCGAACTCAGCTCCGTGGAGACAGCAGGGTTTTGTCTGGCCTTATTGCTGGCTCTCACGGCCATCGTCGGGGCCCACGGGGACGGGCGCATGCCGCAACTTGAATATGGAATAGAACGCCATCTGCACTAAAGTTATAGACATAAACAACATCCACTGTCTAAGCCATTTCTTGACCTGTATACTGTCTGGGTGGTGAATATGGGTTAATATCATTGTTTTCTGCCTCTTTCACAGTGCTGGAGAAGAGTGAGTTTAAGGATGAGCCACTGTTGTTCCGATTCTTTGCTGATGAAGAGATGGAGGGCTCGAACACCAAGCACAAGCCCATGAAGCACGATCTGAAAATAGTGGAGAACGTCATCGCTAAGTCTCTGCTGGTGAGAGATATGGGCTGTAATTGCTCACAGCTGATGGCACTTATGATGGGGCTGTAATGCTGTTGAGCATTGTTGACTTCTAACATTCCCTCATCCTGATCTAATGCCAACTGTGAGTCGTCTCCCAGTAATTATGAATGAACCCTCCTAAACCGGTCTTTCATTACTCCCATGATTGGGATCGGCTGGGTCCAGTGACTTGGCCTGAAAGGGAGGTCAGCTAGGGCTGAGTGAAATTGTAGAGAGAATGTACTGCAGCAGAATCGTGTGGTTTTGTAAGCTTAGCGTGTAGCAATGCTATTTGGTAGCTTTCAATTACTTGTTAGCTACATTAGTCTAGTAGCTCCAATGCAACAAAAAAGACAACATTGGACGCAAACATGTCTTGGACGATCGACTATATTTGAGGCAAGAGGATATATATGTAGTATAATTGTATTTTTCTTTAGGTAAACTAATATTGTGACATTTAGTATAATAAGTACACTGTGTGGCCAAAAGTATGTGGACACCTGACCATCACACCTATATGAGCTTGTTTAACATGCCATTTCAAAACCATGTGCATTAATATGGAGTTGCCTCCCCTTTGTGGCAATAACATCCTCCACTCTTCTGGATAGGCTTTCCACAAGAGTTTTGAGTGTGTCTGTGGGCCTTATGGCCATTCAGTCAAAAGAGCATTTGTGAGGTCAGGCACTGATGTTGAGAAGGCCTGGCACACAGTCAGTATTTACTATTGGCACTATTGCTGTTTGGTAGGTTCTCCTGGCATCCGCCAAACCCAGATTCATCCATCAGACTGCCAAAAAGTGAAGTGTGATTCATTGCTCCAGAGAACATGTTTCCACTGCTCCAGTGGTAGCATTCTTCACACCACTCCAGCCGATGCCTGGCATTGTGTATAGTGATCTCAGGCATGTGTGCAACTGCTTGGCAGTGGAGACCCATTTCGTGAAGCACCCAAAACTCACGGTTCTTGTGCTGATGTTGCATCCAGAGGCAGTCTGGAGCTCTGTAGTGAATGATGCAACAGAGAATAGGTGATATTTACGCACTATGTGCTTCAGTATTTGGTGGCCCCGCTCTGTGAGTTTGTGTGGTCTGAGGTGTTGTGTCTCCTAGATGCTTCCTTTTTACATAATACCACTTACAGTTGACTGCAGATCTTGCTGAGCAGCTGACTCATGGCAAAGGTGGCATCCTCTGACAGCAACACATTTAAAGTGACTGAGCTCTTCTGCATGACCAATTCTATTGCCAGTGTTTGTCTATGGAGATTGCATAGCTGTGCACTTTTTATACACCTGTTAGCATTGGCTGTAGCTAGAGCTGGGCGATATGGCCAAAAATGTTATCACGATAAACAAAATTCATATCGTTCGATATCGATATCGTGTTTTAAACTATCCTTTATGTTCAGAACATGACGAACACTCGCCAAACAGTGGAACATTTCACAGATCTGTCATGGGAGAGTGGGAGAAAGTGTCTGGTGAGCTGTTTTTGCCAGCTGGAAAAGCATGGCTATTTTTGTAATAGTCATAATTTAAGAAAGAAAACAGATTATTTTTAGCTGGTACCGAGTGCTCGGCTACCCCGTGACAAATTACATCACAGTATTCAGGCACCAGCTAGCGACGACTGGATTTCTCTATACTATCATAGTAGTTTAAGTGGTGAACCGCAAGATATCTAACACCAGACAAACAGGTACGTTTAAACTGAAAGCGGTGCTTCTGTGTCGTGTTTGATCTACAGTATCATCAATTCTCCGTGTTGTGTGAGTGACAGTGCGCTGCTTCAAGTTAGCCAGCTGCTAAAAACAGCTAGCCTGGAAAGACAGCGCTCTCCCGCTCTCCAATGCCTCACAGCTTCCTCAGTTTACTTTCGTTTAAATCAGGGCTGTAATTTACATGAACCCACTTCTTTCTTTCACTTTCGTTGCTTGGGAATGCACTCATACTAAATTATGACTGTCCGAGTGCTGTAACAGTGCTGTAGTTGTGAGGATTGTGATTGTGATTAACGCTGCTAAAGCTGGTTAGGATGTACTGAAAGAGGTGAGTTCGCTGTAGGACAGTACAGTTACACCACTGATCTCGTCACTCACACTCGGTCACAGGAGAACAGGTCGCCGGTCGCTCCACTCAAACAGGGAATGTATAACTCCGCGTTTCAGCCGTTGCTAAAGACCCATCTTACTTGTGGCCCCCTCCCTCTCTAATCATGTAGAAAAACTCGGAAGTGCGCCCTCTCCTGGCGACAGCAGAGTAGTGTCGCTTTCCTTGCAGTAGAAAATGCCTCCAAGGCTTTCGCTGAACGTGGAAGTGTGCGGATGGTGTATTATATCGAACATTTATCGAACATGTTTGTATCGATCTATCGAGGAAAAGTTATATCGCGATAATTATCGTTAGCGTTTTATCGCCCAGCCCTAGCTGTAGCTAAACTCAATCATTAGGATTGGTGTTCAGATACTTTTGGCCATATAGTTTAAGTGCTGTTTGCTAGAGTGCACCTCCCTAGTACCCTTCTTTCTGATATTGTGAAGTTTGTGCTCTTCCCCATCAGATCAGGCCTAGTGATGGTGGATACGGCTTCACCCTGGAGGATCGTAACAGAGTGCCCATCATTAAGTCAGTGGAGAAGGGCTCCCATGCAGAGGTAAGTGTACTTTGTTTTCATGTTCGGGAATTCATCCTCATCAAGTTCTTGTAATACCTGACCCAAGCTTGACAAAGTCTGAGAAATATCAATATTCTGGGCAGGTTTAGGCAGATTTTTCTTGTACGGCATCAGGCTCCGGTCAGGCTTGTGTTTGTTTTATAATGAGCGATTTTTATGCAGAAGATTTGTGTTTATTTGAAGGAATACGTCTATGTGAATTTTGCTCTCTCTCTCCTCTCTCTCTCTCTCTCTCTCTCTCTCGTTAGTAAAGTCTATGGGCCTGTTTATACCTTGCATTAACTTGATAGGATTTCATTCAGACTTCACTTGACCGCATGAACAGCCAGGTGTAAACATCCCAAAGATGCATAGTGATCAGATTACTATTGGACCACTCAAACTCACTTTCTGAGATGGTCAGAGACAGATCTTGACCACTGTTAACACAAGTGCAGACGGAATGCATTTTCATTATCCGAAATGTCTCTGCTGAGTGCTGACTAGCAAGTGAGAGGATAAACCATGAAACGAGAGATAGAGGATACGCAAGGCTGAAGTTAGCCCCAAACCAAGACCCTTCATGCACACCAGTGTCCAGGCCAAGCTTATCCCCTCTCATAGTAATGGCAGAAAAGAGTAAACAAAAGCGAAACAGAACTCTGACGTGCATTTTACGAGAGAAGAGTACAATCGGATCTCATTTGGTCACACTGGGAACTAATTTTAGTGAAAAGTGCAAACAGAATCTAGAAAAAGTTTATTTAGATACAATTCAGACACTAAACATTTGCTAATACAAGGTGTAAACAGCCTCTATGTGTGCCACAAAGTCTAGCTAGTGATTTTGCTAATAGTTGGCCTCAGACAAAAAAAAAAGAAAGCCAGATATTTGTTTGACTGGATACCCTATAAAGTATACATTTTGTATATATTACGCTTATTAATGCCGTGGGGTTAAATCACACTACAATCCTTGTAAATATCTAATGTCTGAATACTTATTTACTTTTTTTTATTTATTTATTTTTTTTGGTATGGGACTGTAGTTTGAACTAATCCATATAGACATTTGGAACATTTGGCCTGTCAACTGTATGAGGACATACTAACCAACTTGCTATTACCTTCACTAGCCTAGCCTACATGAGCCTCCTAGGACTGTCACTGAGGAGGATGAGCTGAAATTCAGCCAATGTTCTGTTTTGCTGATGGGCCTAAACGGCACAATAATGCTGGGATGTTGCATTTGTAGTGCTTCTATCTAGAAACCACCAGCATATCTCTGGCAGCAAGCAGGAAAAAATGGACTTAAATTATAAAAGGTTGCATTTCCGGTGTTCCGTTGTTTTACTTATATTCATTATGAGATTGTGTAGCTTAAGCGAAAAGTGCTATGTGAAATATCCAAAACATAAACAAACAGTGCCGCCCATGAATATGCTCCAGGGGCAGCACTCGTTGCAATGTCACTTTTGAAGAGGAGTGCCCCATCTTGTTGTGCCTGGAGATTGACCGCCAGTGTTGTAGTGTTTAGATATAATCCCAAACAGGGGTGGAGCCACACCTCCCAAAGTGGTGGGGCAAAACATATTGTTTTAAAAATAAATAAAAAAATAAAAGTGCCTGACTTAAATTGCCTTTCATGTCATGCTAATGACCTGTCTTTATAAACCAATTCAGAGGTGGGTAGTAACTAGTTACATTTACTGAAGTCCATGTACTTTACTTAATATTCATTGATTATAGTCACATGTCAGAACTGCTGAGGTTTTTATGTGTTTCCTGAATTCAAAAATATTAAAATATTAGGGTGCAGTAAATTAGAGTTGGACAGAGTCTTGAAACACCAGGAATATTGTTGGTTACCCTGTATTTAAAACAAATGTAAGAAGGTACAAATATTTTGATTTTGTGATATTTAATTCCATTCGTGGGTGATTACTGATTTAGATAAATTTGAAGTGCATCTAATTCTAGTTGAATGCTTGAGAAATGCAATTAAGGTTTTACATCTGTTAGACCCTGAGAGTTGGGGGGACTGTATGTTCCTGTTGCTCTCAGTTTGAACTGGCTTTGTGGTGAAGACCAGTTTGAAGTTTTAGTGGTGGTGGTGGGGGGGTAATAGAGCATCGCTTCAGGCACAACTTGATGTTAGAGGATGCACGCACTGTATGTTTCTAATATGAAGCTGTAAAAGAGAGCAGTCTGGTCGTACTGTCCACTCAGCAAAAGGGCCGCCTCATTAAAGTGTCCTGCATCTGACTCAAGCACATCCTAAATAAAGCATTAAGCCACTTGAGACTGTGTGTAACAGTGATTTTACTGCTACTAAAATTGGTCTCTCGGCATCACAGACAAGGACATACAAATGTGAAATGCTTTGTTGGATAACTAGAAAATTTAAACTACAGTTTTAAAACTTTTAAATATTGAGAAAGAATATTCAAATGCTCGTGGTTGGTTAACATAATGATCAAAGAATTGCAAAAACATTATTTGCTTTCTACATAAGTTAATGTAAAGAGATTTTATTGCAAGTACTTTTGGAGTATTTCTGTTGGTCGAGTCATCAGGTAGTGTTCACATAATGTAAAGAATAGCTACCCTGCTTAACTGATGTAGAAAAATAACGGCAATAATATGAAAGTGAATGCAACAACAGCATTGAGAAATTATATAGATGAGGGAGAAGAGATTAAAAGGCTGACTTGCCTCAGAATTAAAACGTCAGTAAGTGAAACTATGGCAAAGAAAACATTTGCATGTTTCAAAAAAACATCCATAGCTACATGAAAGCTAGTTGTCACCAGGCTTTTGATAGACAGCGTAAATTAATTCACCCAGGCATTGAGCTCTACATGGGAGAAAGAGAGAGAGAGGGAGCACAAGGGACTCTTCCTTTTCCTTTTAACAGAATGCTGAATTGGCGCAAAAGGAAAACGGAAAACCTTTAATTCTCCCATGACTGCTCAGGAAACAGAGACATGTGCTTTAATGCAGAAGAAGGATTGTGATATGGACAATATGTGAGCTTCATTCATTCAAACAGAGGCCGCTGAATGAGCTCCAGAGGAAGCGCCATGTGGAGATGAAAGATTTGGCTCCGTATGTGTAGAATGGTTGAATTTTAACCCTTAGAAGTCACAGTTATAGCTGAGACAACAGAAGCATGCTGTAAATTTATATGAATAATTTGCTCGTTGAAGCGAGAGGTGAAACTGTGTGGAAAGGGCAGATTGTAAACTTTCATTCCAGAGTTTAGTGCCTCTAGAGGCCAGAGTACACCAATGGGATGCAAACAAACACAAATGTTGGATCAGTGTGTCATACCCTTGTTTGATTGGTGTAAGACTCAAGCATGTTCTTTTCCCGTTCACCCTAGTTCATATTCAACTAAAAGTTATTTTTCTGAACGTTCTAAAGTCAAGTGCAAACATTAGAACCTTTGTGTTTGTTCATGTTTGTCCCATGGGCGTATTTTGGCCTTAAAAGCTCCTTCACAGAAAGCTGGTCATTTTGGACAGTGTATAAAATCACTACATTTGTGTTTTATACATTGTGACTCTTGGTTCCTACACCAGTAAGTTTTTCTCCAATGAACTGCTCTGAATGACTTTGTTTAGATCTCAACAGTTGAATTTTTCTTTAATAAATATTTCAATATAGGCCTTTGCAATACTCATTGCCGGAGGCTGCAATATGCAAATGAGCCCTCAGTGTTTTTACTGAGTGCTGTGAGCATCCAGACCAATCACAGTTCCAGATGAGTTTCTGTGGGAGTTTTGATGAATCAAAGTATTCATGCAATCCAACAAAAGTAAATTGTTTTGGTCAAAATAATGCAGGTCTGGGCAGCACGGTGCTGCAGTGGGTAGGAAGGAAGGACAGGAAAAAGGACCTGAGTTCCAGTCCCCGGCCAGGCAGCCAGCGTTTCTGTGTGGAGTTTGCATGTTCTCCCCGTGTCTGCATGGGTTTCCTCCCACAGTCCAAAGACATGCAGTCAGGCCAAATGGAGATGTTAAATTGCCCCTTGGTTGAATGCATTTGTCTGTTTGTCTTCCGTGTGATGTCCTGCCTTCTGCCCAATGAGCACTGACCCAGGAGGATAAGTGTCTTAGATAAAGTGTTTGTAATGCAGGTCTGCTCTTAACCATGCCACATTATTTATTCACCAGTGAGTTTTCCATATCTTACAACACATGGGCTGCAGTTTGAAGCAAAACAATCACAATACTAGTATGTTGTCCATATCATGCAGGCCTATTGACAAAGAACGTGAATTCCTCTGTATGTGTCTGACTGCAGATGGCTGGGATGGAGGTGGGGAAAAAAGTCTTTGCCATCAACGGAGACCTGGTGTTCCTGAGGCCATTTCATGAGGTGGAGAGTTTCCTGAAGCAGTGCTTCAACAGCAAAGGTCCGCTCAGGGTGCTGGTCAGCACCAAACCCAGAGAGTAAGTGAAATCACAAGATTTCAAGTCTAAAACATGTCCACTGCATACCTAAATCACCACACAGGCTACTCAAACTATATATTGAGTTGTTCAGTGATGGAGAATCTAATCTCAGTAACCTAAAAATCTAGGGTTCACAATGGCTGCTACTGTTTTAGCAGTGTGACTTACTTTTATTTTTATGTGTGTAGATAACAGTGTGCCATACGGTGTCAGAAACCACATAAACAAGTTTATTAGACATTACTTAACAACTTATATGAACCTGAACATGAAAATATTCATGAAAATATACATGAAAATATGAACATGCATCATCTAGAAAATAAAAAATATTTAAATCCCTCAATTTATCAAGCATGTAATTGGTTTCATCTTCACTCTAAAAGTATTTTGCTGCCATCTCGTGGGAACACTGCTTGATTATTTCCGGTCTGTTTTTGCGCATGCGCAGACTGAGAAATCCGAAAGAAATCTGAGTAAGAGTTTACATGCACTGAGAAATCTGATTACAGAGCTAAACTCCAGCTCTCTTTATCAGATTTCTTAATCGGATTTCTAGATCAGAGTATGCTGTTTACATGACCATTTTGAATGGTCAGATGATAGGATTTTTGAGTGCATGTAAACGCACTCATTATTAAGTGGTGCAAGACTTCCTTTATTGTTGGATGCATTGTGATCTTTGGAGCTTATGAGTATGAACTTATTATTGATTGGCTTCATGAGAGTAATGACAAAGCGTGACTAATATGTCTGATATTCCTATTCATGTGTTTGATTGTTCAGATTTGTAGTTTGTCAAACAAACTGAGCAAAAATCGATGAATTTTTGGCTTTGTTTGATCACATTCTTTACATATCAAATAAACATATCAGCAGTGAGAAGTTACAGAGAAGAGTGGATCAAAATAAACACTTTTTTGCCAGTCTGAAACATTGTAAGCATGTATCAGTTATTCATAAAGATTATTTAGTTTATGTAGTTATTCATACATCTTCTGTCTCAGAACCTTCAGGTTTTGTGCTGATTTGTTGAAGAACTGGATCGTTATTAAATCCAGCCAAATAAACACCCTTTAATGAGCTCAGAAGTATTAAAAATCATGTGTGTCTTTGTGTGTATGTCTGTGTGTGTGTGTGTGTGTGTGTGTGTGTGTGTTTGTAGGACGGTAAAGATTCCGGACTCAGCGGATGGTCTGGGCTTCCAGATCCGTGGATTTGGACCATCTGTGGTTCATGCAGTCGGCAGAGGTGAGAGAGAGATAAACGAGCTACTAAGGGAGAAGAGAACAGAATGAGAGAGAGAGAGAGAAGAGAGAGTGAGAGAGAGAGAGAGAGAGCGAGAGAGAGAAATTTGAAAACAGAACGAGAGGAAGAGAGAGAGAGACAGAGACAGAGACAGAGTAACAGAAATGATCATCATTTGTCATGTTTTCCATGTTTATTTTATGCTCATATTCTTCTAGTCTGTTCTTCTTGTTTCTTTTCTGTTAAGCATAAGTTTCTTTTATATACTGTCACACAAAACAATGACTTCACATACACTTCAAACTCCATTTGCTTCTTATAATTTATTTTCTGTGAGTTTTCAGCTATTTGTTTGTATATTTATGGTAACAACACTATGGATATTTATGGTAGCAACCCCTGTCTTTATAAACTGTACAGCAATTGTACAGCATGAGGGAGAGAGAGAGAGAGAGAGATAGAAAGATATAGCCAAAGGTAAAAGATACAAAAGGACAGTGAGGTAAAGAGAGAGAGATAAGAGTTACAGAGAGAGAGACAGAGAGAGAGAGAGAGAGAGATAAAAGATACAAAGAGAGAAAGTTAGAGAGAGATAAAAGAGATTTAGAGAGAGGAAGAGAGAGAGTGAGAGAGAGAAAGAGGAAGAGAGAGAGACAAAGTCAAAGAAAGAGATAGAGAGAAATACCCAGAGGTAAAAGATACAAAGGGACAGTGAGGTAAAGAGAGAGATAAAAGAGCTACAGAGAGAGTGAGAGAAATAGTCAGATATACAGAGGGTGAGAGAGGTAAAGACAGGTAAAAGATACAAAGAGTAGGAGGGAGAGAGAAACAGACAGAGATAAAAAAGGTACAGAAGGAGAGAGAAAAAGAATAAGAGTGAGGCGGAGAGGGACACAGAGGGAGAAGGTAGAGAGAAACAAGAAGTGAAAGGAGAGAGAGAAAGAGAGATAAATAGACAGCTATAAAAGATTCAGAGAGAGAAGTGTCGAGAGAGATACAGGAAGCTGCTCTTTTCTCTTTGTTGCTGTGGGTGTGAGCATTATCTGGATCTGTATGAAGGTAAAGGGCCGGACACGCTCTCGTCCACTTCTGAACTGTGCTCCTATCAAACCCGGCGGAGGACAGAGTGGATCACAATAAAAACAGCCCATTCCACAGCGGCACTGAGGGGAATGGCTTTATTTCTGAAATAGAGGGAGAGAAAAAGACAGAGCGAGAGTACAAATGATAGCAGGAAATGAGAGAGCCACTTGAGATGGAGAGAGAGAGAGAGAGAGAGGGATGGATCGAGAAAGAGAGAGAGAGAGAACAGATAAGACATTTCTCACAGCCATCTCTGCAGCCCATGATGGAGTATGAGATGCAGTCCAATTTTCCCTCAGCTCAGACATAGCACCATGGGGAGGAGTGACCCATCAGTGGGTAGGGACGGGCAGTAACACGATGCGTTATCGTTTCTGTGATGAATTCCATCACAATATACTGTTCTGAGTATATGATGGCTGTGCTCAGTACTTCTAGAGCACTGAAGAACTGATTTAGACCAATCAATGGCGAGCCTGTAAACAACAACAACCAGTGTAGAGTAACTGTATTAACTGTGTAGTAAGAAGTATCTGAGTGCATAGCAGCACATTGTGACATCATCTTATTTTATTAACGTATGTTTACAGATTGTTTGAATTCCTTTAAAACAGAGTTTTTGTCCAAACACTGGTCACTTTTCACTGTATGAGATTGTTGTAAGAATAAGCCGGCCTTGTTATGATGTCAAGCTCATAACAGTTTAAGAACCCTTTTTGGTGCTACATAGAACCATTGCTTTTACTATAGAACACTTAAAAGAACCATTTTTTTGGGATTGTAGATATTTATTATTGATCTTAATATTGATCTCTTTTCTATATATTCTCTTTTTTAATATGGTGGCTGCCCTTTAGATGCTGTAAAGATTTTTATAATGGACAGACTAACAGAAAGAGTCCAAAATCACTTAAAACTAAGTTTGTGCACCCTGTCAAATGACATTTTGTTGTAGTGAAAATAAGTAACCCATCCTCCACAGAGAGCACACTTCTGCACATTTTAATGAAAAAAATGTAGGGAAAAATGATAGAAAATGTGGCATATGGCATATTTTATATGTTATGTTTTATTTTTTCCAATTAAAGAAACTCAGCAAATAAATAGACATTTTGCACTAAAATTGGCAGAAAAATGCCATGTTTATGTTCGTTCCCTGGTGAGGATGTGTTAACCTCACTTAAAAAACAAAAAACATGTAATTTGAACAGAGGTGTTCAGACTTTAGCACACGACTGTAACTTCCATTAAGTGTAGAGAATGTTCTTCCTTTTGTAAAGTTGCCATTTTGAAGAAACAGGTCAAAATCCAACCACAATAGTACATTACACAACAGTACAGTGGGCGCTCAAGTGCTACTTTCTTGCAGAGTTTAGCTCCAACTTGTACCCAACAAGGTGCCTCACCCATAACTTAACCCTAATAGATCTGGTCCAGCCAGTCAGGGTCTTGGGAAGAGGCTGATTATCTGGAGCAGGTGTGGCAAATTATGGTTAGAACTGAACTCTGTAGGAAGGTACCTCTCTAGGACCAGAGTGGAGACCACTGGTCTAGATTTAAAGTCAGAACTTATAATGCGTTCTCCTTCCGCACTGTATGTGAGTGTTTTCTCTGCGTGTTAGCTGGAGGTGGTGGGAGGGACAGATAAAACGTCACATAATTGGTGGATAATATTTTGAGGTGAAGCAAAAATCATAACATTTTGAATATGACAAAGAAAAGAATTTTGCGACCAGGGATGTGAACTACAAGATCAATTTTGGTTTCAGGTTGAGTTCAGGTTTTAAGTCAGTTTAGCCCTCAAATAACCTGTTTCTGAAATGAATGAATTAAGCCAATAGTTTTCATCCCCTTCAGCTCAGACTCCCTCACTCCTGTGAGCTCCTCTCTGTCTGAGTGTGGTTGTGTGTCTCTGCAGGCAGCAGTAATGGAAGAATGAGTGTTATGGGCCAGTGCGAGGGGCTGAAATAGAGGAAATTTATCACAGGCATGCACTGTGCTGCTCTGAGGTTGCTCAGTGTCCCCCGCTGGCCACAGCAGGATGGCTATCATGAGAGCTCTTGGAGCAGTCTGAGCTTGAGCACACGCACCTCAGCATAGTTTTTGTTCACCGAGCACTGTCCCTCTCCTCTCATAGAGAGAGACAGAACATATTTAATGCATTCATACAAATTAACTGATAAAGTACAACCATAACTGTGACCATGAAGTAGTTACAGTGCAAATCTCTGTATTTTTATAAATGATTCTGACTCTGTGAAATTGACAGTTTGTTGTAAAAATCATATAGCACACTTTTGTTCAATGCTATACGTAACAGTATGTCATAAACTACATTAGCAAGCATTGGTGCAAAAGCAGGACGGGAGGAGCACAGCCACTTTTGTTATTAACTATACCAGTGCATATATCTAGATCAACACTATGAATGAATAACATTAGTACTTTGTTGCAGACTCATTGTTGGCAATCTATGGTAAGAAGTAATCAGCTTTTGCAAGCATTTCGGTTCAATTTTGGCTCGTTTCTCTTTAGTTCCCCCAAGTTAGTAGCACCCCCCATTGGACTCACAGTTTTTCAGTAGGAGTCAGGTCAGGTAATGGGGTAGCACCATCATCTCCTTTATTTAATTAAATTCTCCACTAATATCTACCCACAATGATGCGTAATTTGCAGAAAAGCAGCCCCATGTCATGATGCTCCCACCTCCATACTTCGCTGTGGGTGTGGTGTTCCTGGTGTTCATATGCACTATGCAGCACTTTTTTCTCTGAACATGATGAGCTGAATTATTGCTTAAGAGTTCTAATTTTGTTTGTCGTGTTCAGAGTACATTGTTCTGAAAGAAATCTGATCTAAATTTGGGGTCAGCAACCCAAATGTTACGAGCCATTTTGTCCTTTCAACAAAAATCAAACCACTTTGGGAGCCACAACATCTATGTTTGAGAACTTTAGCAAGCTCCTTCACCTTCGCCTTGATTACTACTTTGTGAACTTTTTCCAAAAATCACAGAAAATGGACCAAGAGAAATGGTCCTAAATTGCTTGCACTCAAATCTCATTACATTAATGTACATTAACAACTCATGAACAAGGTTTTCCTACAACAGCAACAATATGCTGCCTTTAGCTTTCAGTTGCTGTTCGTGTTCTCCAGCTGAAAGCTGTGTTTATGTAAGCTGGGCCCTGTTATCAGCCTGTTTATGTGCGGTTTATCATGCTAACTGACATCCTGACCTGGAATTTACATGAAGTCTACCCGAGGAGTGGCTGTTTTGAGTGTGACACATGCTGTGTGGATTCACAACGAGTGACTGTCCCTGTTGTGCCACTGCATGTAAACATGCTAATAGACAAACTGTTTGTTTAGCGGGGTTTTGTCCTGTCTCTGTCTCCCTTTGCATTTCCATCTGTCTGTCTCTCAGTGTTTGTCAGTATATGGTTTATTCTCCTGACCTCACCCTGTCCGTCTGTGTTTGTAGGCACGGTTGCAGCTGTGGCTGGACTGCACCCGGGTCAGTGCATCATTAAAGTCAACGGCATCAACGTGAGTAAGGAGAGTCATGCCAGCGTGATCGCGCACGTCACCGCCTGCAGGAAATACCGCAGACCCACTCAGGTACAGCTGGGACATGGGTGGACTGCTTTTTTCTATTATTCCATTGTTTTAATACAGATTCCAATATTTTTGATTTTAAAAAGGTGTTAAAAATGAAAGAAAGTATATGTAATCACTCTTTGGTGTAGAGCTGCCCTTTTGGCTTTTGTGGTCATACATCGTCACATTTGAAGAACATGAATTTTCAGGTCTAGGAAAGTTTGTTGGCAGTTAGAGATGACTAAAATAAAGCAAAGCAGAATAATAATTCAAAAGAACAAAATTTCTATTCTATTCTACTCTATTCAGTAGTGTACTGTGTTTGACCTGCACTGTTGGAAAATGTCCAGTCTTTTTGTGCAGTGTTTGCACTGCAGCCTGCATCTTTACCCAGCTGTAATTGTAGTGTTGGCTCTAGGGGTGGAGGTCTGTATCCTGCAGAGCAGGGATCACTCCAGGGGGTTTTGGTTGTGGTTTATGGGTGAGAGCGCTTGCCGAAGAATGAGGAGAGTGATTACATAGTTGCTGATTAGACGGCCAAAGCCAGGCCTGGACACCACTGAAAGGCACATTTACATTTATATGCCTGCAGTATCCACTGTTATGGTAACATAAGTTCTGTTTTCGCCAAATGAACCACAACCCTAATACCAGTCTAAAGGGTTTCTGTTTTCTCTTGGTTGTTTCTTATTTCAGCAAGACTCCATAAAGTGGGTTTATAATAACAATGAGAGCGCCCAGGAGGACCACCAGAAGACCAACCAAAAGCCCAGTTCAGAGGAGAACGGGGATGTGTTTGAGTGCAAAGTGGAAGGTAGTTCCACAGCCACACACACTCACACTTTTTTCTTTACTTAATCAGTTTTATATACGTTATATACACGTATACATATTATATAGATTTATATTTACGTCAGCTCCGTTTTCTTTTTTATATCATCTCAATTTTTTAGCCCCTTAAATGGCCAGGGCCCACCTGCAGACCCAAAGTTTTACTACGTACTTCTGTAACCTAAAAAATAGCTCAGCCAGTTTGCATTGAAGTCCCTGTAGTTACTGAATAATAAGCCTTAGAATCGAATAAACCTGGGATTTTAAGCGGCTACATATCTCAATTTTGTTGTTTTCTTGTTTTTTTTTTTATACATAATTTGTAAACACCAGTTGCCCTTTATATTGTGTGAAAATTTCACAATGAACGGACCAATAAGAATGTCCCAAAATTACTTGGAAAAAGAACTTCCATTGTAACTTTAGAATGTGTTTGTTAAAAATACAAGTTTTCTATTTTGTTTCCAACAGTGACGAGATATATATTATATTTTAATCTATTACTTTATTGTATTTGGACCATTTTGCTCAAATTGACATGGAATTTTTACACAATCTAAATGGCAGCTGGCACTATATACCCCTTTCCTTTGAAAAAACTTGTGCTGTTCCTGTGGGTTAGCCCTCTTTTTCTTAATTTTTCCTACAAAATGTGTAAAAAAAAGTTATTTTAGCCCTGATAAATCTATAAAAACAAACACATACACACACTCAGTGTCATTTTAATCTTTGTAATGTTCACTCCGGTCATGAGAACATGAGTCTGGTCTCTCATGACACTTCACATTTCACTTCAGCAGCTCCATCTGCTGCTCAGTAGAAGGGGAATATTTCACATCATCCACCTCATTGAAGATGAAGTTGCTTTCCTGCTCCAGCAGCCCAGACTGTTGAAAATTTTTGTAGAAATTATTCCCCATGCCATACATGACACAATCTGGCTTTATTAAGTCATTGTATTCGTATTAGTGTGTGCACATAGATGAACAGTTAATAATGCATGAAGATCATTAGCTTTTAAAGCGATAGTTTGGCGAAAATATGGAAATGCGATGGCTGCTACCACTGTGTCCATTTTCACAGATAACAGAATATCATAGTGTCAGAAACCACATAAGCAAGTGTGAGTGATGGTTTATGCAGTTTTGCACAGTGCTAATTTGGTGGGGTATAAGCATCACTGAATTCCCATACAAAACTAGAGAAGCAAACTTCAGACACCAAATGTATCACTCGCTGTGTGAGAAATGAAAGTCAGCTTCACTTAGGTAAGCTAAGGTAACTTATTACACAGCTTTTTTCCCCAACTTAAGCTTCTTAGTTTAGTCAAAAGTTCTCACATTTTTTAGTTGTGCATTTGTTTGTTTTTTACTCATTTTCTTCATCAGCTGGGACTCTTTCCATTCCACGATCCCAGAAGGCATTTTCTCCACCTGTTTCCCCAGTTATGGACGGCTGCAGCATCACTGTCTGTGCTTACGTGGAAAGATTTTCCCCAGTGTGATTGAATACATTCCGATTATAGGACGATAGCTGGACGCCCGTCCCACCGCCATCCTTTAAAGTCCAAAGCATAAACTTCGTTTGACATGAACACACATGCGCAGAACGTACTTAAACTTTCCGATTGGGAATGTAATCGGATACAGGGGTTTACACGGTTATTATTCTTCTATTTGACAAAGAATTTACAGGACTGCCCACCTTGTTCAGTTGGATTGAAATTGTATTCGGAATGGCCTCAATCGGACTAGTCTATTCCGGTCGAGGTGTTTACGTGGACGTATTATACTCCGACTGAGCTAATAGTCGGATAATTAACATATTATTAGGCTGCATGTAAATGTGGCTACTGAGCTTCAAACTCATCTTCTGATGTTGGGGTGAACACTTAAATGGTTACTTTACAAGTTACTTTTAAAGGTTTTGCAGTGTATTTAACATTTATAGACACAGGAATCTGATTAAATACTGGGGCTCCTGAGTGGTGCAACCAAGTTTTGGATCATGTTGACCACTCTTTGACAAGTCAAGTGCTAATTGGATTCTCGTGTACAGTCATCCATAAGTGGGGAAACGCCTGTTGGAATTGTGTGATAGAAAGAGTTTGAGCTAGTGGGGAAAATGAGTAAAAAACAAAATTGTTTTATTGTTTGCCTAACCTAAAAATCTTCTTTTTTTTTTTTTACCTAACCTAACAATCTAGAATTAGAAGTACTTTTGACTAAACTATGAGGTTTGAGTTGGGTGAAAACCAGTGTCCTCAAGTTGAGGTAACTCAAGAAAAACTTTAGAAGTTACTTTATCATTTTAAGTTGGATTTAAGCTGACTTTTCATTGTTTGCCATGCAGTTCTGACTAAAGCGGTTGAGTGTGTTTGCTCTGCAGAGGTGATGGACAAGTTCAACACCATCGCTATGATCGACGGCAAGAAGGATCACGTGAGCCTGACGGTGGACAACGTGCACCTGGAGTACGGTGTGGCGTACGAATACGACAGCACTGCCGGCATCAAGTGTCACGTACTGGAGAAAATGGTGGAACCCAAAGGCTTCTTCAGCCTCACAGCCAAGGTACAGATTCATCACAGCCTTTATTAGCCGTCAGAGAGAAATGTCGTTCTGTACACAAGAAGCCAATTAGCGCTTGACTTGTCGAAGAATGGTCAACATGATCAAAGACCTGAATCACTCTGGAAGATCAAGGTGACACCCAGCGCAGTAACAGAATAGTCCAACTATCTGTCGTCTTATTTAGTTCTGACGAATCGCTGCTTCACAGAACTACACAAACTGGTGTGGGAAATAATCTGCATGTCACACTCTTTTCTGTTTGTTTCACTGTTACAAACACAAATGTGAATTGAAAGTTTAGTTTAATCTACATGTTACATATAGATCTAACAGGCTATGACTGAGAAATACTTAAAGTATAAGCTAGGGCTGTCAAAGTAGGTGCCTTAATAATGCATTAACACGATTAATAATGCTACTCATTTTTTGGTAGCACTTTACAGATCAGTAATAAATGGATAATGATGTGCTAATATTATAGCAACAAGTTGTACTTCATCGCAAATTAAATATCAGTTTCCTAGTTTCTTTATTGGAAGAGTCACTTTCTGCAACAAAGAAGTAAAAAATGGTCACTCAAAGGTTACAAGCTTCAAATGGTTATGCTGGAGTTAAAACGACCAACTTTGTGCTAAGAATTAGCATAATGGTAGCGGATAAAAACAGCTGCTTATAAAGGGAATAAATGACTGTATCTGGCTCTTATGGTAAACTACATTTAAAAAGTATTCCATTATGCTATTACCAACATATCCCATTGCATATATCTAATATTTCAATAATAGCTCTAGTGTTAGCTTAAGCCTTAGCTGTAGTGTTAGCTCCAGTGCAGGGGTCGGCAACATGCAGCGCCGGAGTAGAATTAGATTTTTAGGTAAAAATTAAATAATCTTCCTTTGCAGTAAAGTAAAGCTCTGCTGATTGTTCTAACACAGTTTTAACAATAAACAGTCTTAAACGCCGGAGTTGTATTTTGTATAACTGCTAATTCACCCTTTAACCCTGAAGGTTGGCAGGCAGACTGCTGATCACCATAGCAACACAGACAATCTCGCCTAGCTAGTAGCTAACGAAAAGGCAAAGAGAGAGATTTAAGACGAACTTCGATCATTTGGAGACAAATGGACTTGTTTGTGTTTATAAGCACTCCCGTTGGTTTCCTGATGCGTTTAATCTGCAACAAGAAACTGGTGAACACTAAAAAGTCACGAAGCTGAAGTCAGCTTCTCGTTCGCCAGCTTCTTGTTCAAATTTCAAATTGGAACAAGAAGGTGGCGAATGAGTAGCTGACTTTAGCCTTGTGCAAAGTCGAATGTTGAGAGATGTTTTCAAGAAACTATTCTACTTTTGAGAAGGAGTTTCCTGCTGGAGAGAAGCGGCTTTAGTTTAGAAGCTTAAAGCGGAGCAAAGTAAGTTTGCGATTTTGTTTATATTACATTTTTAAGCCTATACTAGGACATTAGCACATACGGAGACATATTTACAGCGAAGATGATAAAATGGACATAAAATGTTGTGGCTCCCAAGGTGGTTCGATTTGTATTGAAAGGACAAAATGACTCCTCTTAACATTTTGGTTGCCGACCCCTGCTCTAGTGCTTGCCTTAGGCTTAGCTTGGTCTCCATCACTCAAACGTCCTCCTTGCTAGACAATGGCCTGTATTTGTATATTGGAATATGCTTGACATGTCTTTATAACTAACTTCATTAAATTTTTCAGTGAAGCTTTCAGCTGCTGCCTTTTACCACTTGCATATTATTTTGTAACTTGAATACAGACTTTATTTTCCCATTTTATTACAGATTATTACTCACATAATGTTTAGTAACAACTAGGAAATTGACATTTAATGTATAGATGAGCCCATAGTATTGGTGCCTTATTACCCACTCATTACTGATCTGTAAAGTGCTTCCATTTTTAATGCTGTTAATGCATTTGACCCCTCAAAACAATTCACAGTAGTGTAGGCTGAAGCCCAGCTGCAGTGTGCTTTATGTTGCTATGATTGAATCCATGATTGTAGCCCTCTTGCTCAAACAGCCTTTTATATGGCTTTTAAAACAATATATTCGGCAGACTACGCTGGACAGTGGCCACGGGAGACCTATGAAAAAAATAACGAGCAGCAAACTGCAAAGCAAAGCGGAAAGCTCCCGTTTCCTTTGAGAGCCTCCACTGTAACAAGAATCCACAAGCTGTATGAACGAGAGGCTCCATTCACATAGGAGTTGGTTTTTAGAGGCAAATTTAAGCAAATAAAACCATTGCAACTTCTAAGGCTCAAAAACACTGCAGAGGAAGCTGCTGCTCCCAAGTGGAAATTAGCTTTATGGGCCAAACAGTAATGAAGGAGTAAATAAACTGCAAATCACGCAGCTGGGAAGGAAGAGGAAGATTCAAATATTAGCATTAGCATATGCACATTTGCAGTCTTTTAGCTTTTGTGGTTTTGAATTATTGCCACTGAGTTGAGTCACAGTACCATATATACTAAAAGAATGGCATTTCTCTGCACATAATTTAAATGCATCCAGGTGAGACCAGCCTGTATGGAGTGTGCGTGTTTAAACTCGTGCTGTGCTACTGGAAGTTTTATATGCAAGCTGCTGTAGATTAATACTCAGTAAACACATTGTAAACAAAGTGCAGCCTGCTGTGGCAAAAGCTCTTTTAATCTAAGATCTCATGTAATGAGGCTATATATACACAGCAACTTCTATTAAAGTATGGAACAGTGGCTCATTTCACGTTGTTTTGACTCTAAATTGAAGCGTTTACTGGAGAAATTTAAATGAAAGTCACTCACTAAAGTTTTTAGTTCATGTTTGTGTCTTTTCTGCCCTTGAACCATCTTTTATGTAACGTAGGGGCTGAAAGAGGCAGGTTGCAAATGCAAAGTGGCCTTATTTAGGCCAGTCCTGTACTCACAGTCTGTACAGGCAGGGATCAAAACATAAGCAGGCAATATCAAAGGCAGATCCATTTTAACAAAACTAGGAGATGAAGCGAGGGTCAAAAACAGGAAAGCAATACAAGGATAACTACAGCTCAGGACTCATAACACAGAGACTTCGCAGACACATAGGGAAAACAAAGGGGTATGTGTAGCATTCGTAATTAGTCCTGAGAGTAAAGTGCAGGTGTGTGTAATAAAGGAGAGGGGGGTGAGTCTCCCCAGAGGGAGTCACAACTCAGAACTTAGAATTGTAGATGTTATAGTGATTTTGCTGCATAACTATATAATATAGTTATCGAATTACATAGTTGAAAAGTATAAGATGATATTTAGTAGGGGTGGGAATCTTTAGGCACCTCACGATTCAATTCGTTTACGATTCAGAGGGCTGTGATGCGATTATAAAACGATTATCGCATATATTGCATCTTGATGCATCTTTTTTTTCTATACAGGATTTCTGTCTTCCTACTGTCTGAGGACTTGGTACTTTTAAAGCAAAGTATTTATAATGATCTATAGTGCATTTACTTCCAATATATTTTATTAATAAATCGCTGTGTCAGTAAATTATCTTCGAGACTGGACGCTGAATCTCGGCTCCAAAGTGTGCATAGCGTGAAAGCCCTGGTTCGTTAAATCTGCAACGAGAGTCTATCAAACACTAAAGAGTTGTTAAGATGAAATCAGCTTCTCTTTCGAATTTTTCCGTTCCACCTTAAATGGTGCAGCAGTTACATTCAGTGCCTCAGGCAGATTTTAAGGTGGAACGGGAAAATTCGAACAAGAAGCTGGAGAATTAGACGCGACTTCAACCTCGTAAAACAATCGAAAGTTGGGAGACATTTTACAAGAAACTGATCTACTTTTGAGGAAACGTTTGCTATCAGATATGGGAACAAAGCGGCTATTAAAGCTTAAAGCAGAGCGAAGTAAACTGCGTTTTCATTTATATTGTTTAGTCTATACTAGGACATTAACACATACTGACACATACTGGACATTAAATGTTGTGGCTCCCAAGCTGGTTTGATTTTTGTTGAAAGGTCAAAATGGCTCTTCTTAACATTTGGGTTGTGACTCCTGACCTAACCTGGCTTTTAATGCAGAGGGTGCCAGTCGGATTTCTCACTCATCCAGTTGTGTTTTTGTTATGTGCCGTCAGAGACTGTCCGGGCGCTGCACTTACCCACTTACCCGCAAGTTCCGCCTTTTACATTCCGTCAACATTACATTATAAATTAAATATTTAGATAATCGATTTTTGACATTTATGAATCGATTCAGAATCGTTCATGTCCGCATCGCGATGCATCTAAGAATCGAGTTTTTCCCCCACCCCTAATATTTAGTAGTATAAAATCATGCAAATGTTGTTGCAGATCATTTTATTCTAATATAATGCTAAAACTCTACAAGTTTCAAATAATTATAAATAAACCTTGAAAAAGTTTGAGTACTCCAGACAAATGACAAAAAATGTAGTGAAAAAGTAGCATATCCTCTACAGAGAACACACTTAAATATAGCATTTCCTGCTTAATTTAGTGCATAATTTTTATTATTTATTAGTTTAATGTATTCGAATAAATATATGAACAAATATGAGACCAATAAAATATAAAATTTCCTAAATTTTCTTAACTGATACATTAAAACCAACAAATATGCAACCCAATTTTGCATATGACTGTATGTAATACTAGTATTAGTAATAATATCAGCTGAAATAAATAAATGAATAAATACAAATATCTTAATAAAATGTTATTTTAAATGGTTAAAATAACAATGATTAGTATAAACTGTATATTAATATACATTGTTTAATTTCTTCTTAATATTTTAATACAAGATTTTTATACTTTTATAGTGTATATAGTTATGTATGTCATTTTAATTTATAATAACATCTAAAATATATTTTAAAACTGTCTGTTGTGTTTGTATTTTGCATTGACAGGTCTGGGTCTACGCTTCTGATTTTTTGTGTTTGTTTTGATATCAAATAACAAAAACATGGCGAAAATGTAAAGGATGTACACAACAATAGCTTTTCAAATTCAGATCTTAATATCTCCTCTTCTACCCACAAACACAAAGTGGTAATTTTCTCCACTGTTTTGAGTTGCGTGTTTTCATTATCACTGGTTGTAACTGTGACTCCTAAGGGTTGAAGTGAAAGGATGATGATTGCAGTAACACCTATATACCACTGTGAAATATTTCATTTTCTGCCACTGTTTGAATGAAGTTCTTTTCCAAACTGCTGAGAAAGTAAAAACTTTTTAGTTTCAGAAACTGATGTGTTATATTTTCTGGATATTAAGCAAGTCTTTTGTGCTTGTTCTTAAACTGCTAGCACTTTCCACCTTATTGCTGACATCTGCCCAGGACAGACTCACTTTTCCTCAGAGAAACTTCGCTCTGGATGAAGTTTAATATCGCCCGCGCTGTCGGCTGGATTATTAGCTGAAGCTGCGGAGCCAGATCACTCTTAAATTTCCCTCTCTCCTCTCTTTGAGCCTGTGAGGAAAAACCTCAGGCTCTAAAGGCCCATATCTCCCACTATGGCCTATACCTCCCACACATCTGGAGGGGTCCATGCCCTTTACAGCTCTGCTACTGTACTGCCTGAGTTATAATGATGACTGTCGTAAATTCGTAAAGGGCAATTTGACAGATTTTTCCAAATGACTTTATTATTAAATGCTGAGGATGTAAAGAAAGTTATTCAGAGTGGTTTGATGTGAAATGCACACACAAATGCAGAGACTCAAAATTCACAGTATTGATGATGGGAGCCAGAAGTCTGAAGCGTTTAATGCTTTTAAACCCCCCCTCCTACAGGAACCTATGACATGAAATGGTTATGAATACATTAACTGAGACATGAAACGTTGTTTTACGATAGTTTTCAGATAAGAGTTTGACTTTTTTTCATCCATTCCTGGTTGAGAGGTCCATGCAGGGTGTTGTACGACAAAACAGACCCCAAAGAAAACATGTTTAGATTTACCACTGTTTTACTATTATCAACATTACATACAAAAGCTCAGAAGCTTGCAACCTGTAATTTTAAAAATGGCTATTTGTGCTCACCCGCCTCAAAAGTGGAAAGGTTCTTTAGGGAACCACAAGTGGTTGTTCTATGGATTCACGCAAGGTGCCCTTTTTATTTTTTAGAAAGAAGGTAAAGAAAGAGGTAAAGCAAAAAAAACTTTAATATTATTTAAAAAATGTTTTTAACCTTAATTTATCCTGCCATGAAAATAATCCCAGCAGCTTAGAGTAAATTACTTACTGTTGTTACCTAGCAACCAATAGTCAGTCGAATGACACAGGTATGGTGAAAAAGTGCTGTTATCAGATATAACAACACAGGTATATTGTTAATGTTGTGTAACCCTGAATAACATGTCATAGAGCATTCATACTCATATTAATACATGACTTAAGAGCTAAATAATTATACACCCAGCACTGTGCAAAAGTCAGAGACCACCCACCATTTATCTAACTTTCAGTCACAACGGCTATTAAGTACAATTTATTCATTTTTATGCGTCAGAAAAGGCAGAATACATAATTAATTGAGATAACACAGTAGACTCGACAACTAAACATAATCAGATTTTCGCCTTTATTACAGCTTTGAATCTTTTCAGGAGACTTGCTTCCATTAAAATTCAGTCTTAGAAGTTGGTTGCATTTTCTGCAAGCACATTCAGTGATGTTGAAATCTGGACTCTGGGGTCATCAGTTCATTGTTCTGAGAACACCAGCAACTTTTTGTCTATTTCCTTTTCTCAGTAAGGGCTTCTTATCAGACTCAAAGTGTTGAGTTGTCTTTTCACAGTGGAGCTTGATTTTCTCCTCTCTCTCAGCTTTAAGTGCTGTTTATCAGATGGGGACAGTTGGTGGTCTACCAGGTCTTGCAGGTGGTTGTTAGGAGTCTCCAGCTTTTAACCATTTTTTTTTTTAAATCCAGTTTTGAAAACTCCTGTTTTTTCCCCTTATTTTATCTTTGACTTTCTCTTTTCTTATGCAAGTGGATTATCTTATATCTAATCCCCTCATAAATATCTCCTGAAAATGAATAACATGTATGTAATGTCTGTTTTGAAATGAAGGGTGGTCTCTGACTTTTGCACAGTCCAGTATGTGACTGTTATTAATTTGTAACATGTGACTGACCAGAAGAAGATAAGAGTGCTTACTAAGAGTAAATTGAAATATATGATAAAGACGTTACATTGCACTGTAATAGTCACAGATAACAGCGGAGGTCTAGTGTGCTTCACTGTGAGCTTCATTTCCCCTCCATTTTCTCTCAGATTCTGGAGGCTCTGGCAAAGAATGATGAGGCTTTGCTGCAGACGTGTAGCCGGATAAACTCCAGCACGGAGCTCATCCCCGAGGACCTGCAGAACAGGTTCAGCTCCATGTGCAGTGAGAGATTGGAGCACATCAACCGCCGCATCACCAACTACAGGAAGGTATAGACTTTTAGCTGAAATGCTTCCTTTACTATTAGCATGGAGTGATTAGAAGGTATTCTTGAACTTGTATGTGTATGATTTACCATCTGCTATGGATTAATACGTGATAAACTCATTGTGAGCAGTGACGTTATTCGAGACTGAAGTATAACATAGGTGGGCTGTTCAGTGGTATACAGATTTCATGGCTTTTCTAACTGACTTATACTTCAGTATTTGCAGTATGGCAGGAAGGAGGGTGAAGCATAAGACGTTATGTTTTCTTATACTTCAGTGAAGAATAGTATGTCCTGGTAATATTATGTTGTACTAAGTCTGAAACTCATTACAACACAAATGCCTTACTGAGGGTGTTCCTGGCCTTTGCAGCATGTGGTGCACTTTTCTTAAAGGGCCCAAATGAAAAAATGGGCTTTTTCTTTCTAGTGATCATTCCGCCAGCAGAACGAAAATCATCTCTAATGTTTTCGATTAATGTAATGAAATTAAATATTTTTTTACTTGTAACTGGTATCAGATTAACTATGTGTCCCTCTGTGTGTGAAATATTGTTGAGCTGCTAGTAAGCAATGAGGGGTGAACAGTGAGGCATGACCACCCTTTCCAAAAAAAATGCAGTCCCTCCACAAACATGGCGACACCAAGATAAAACAGAGAGCAACTTGCAGCAAACTGCAGCTTTCACTATGCCAAACAGTCATACAGCCGCCACAAAAAAGCATTAAACACAGTAAAAACATTTTGAAAAAGGGTCCAACTGTACAATGATGTCATAACCATGACGAAAATTATATATGACCTCCTATTCAGGATAAAAGTTTTAGCGATATGGAGTGTTGTTCCTGCAGACACTCTGTATAGTTATTGAGGTGGAAGATGTGGGGAAGCGATCAAACGCTGTGTTGTTCCTCGCTATCAGGAAGAAAATGTATCACTGCAGCCTTCCAAATGATCCACAGATCCAAAAGGAGTGGCCGAAGTTTTTTTTTCCTGTCCCTGAGGATTCCTGTCCAGTTTGTTCCATATTTCTGCCCAGACTGCATTTCAAATGCTGCACAATACAGCCAGTCAGGAGCTCATCTACATACGTCAGTCATAAAGAGGTTTCAATGCCCATGTAAAAATAATGTACACATGAATTAGAAGAGTTATAAGTGGACTTGCTGGTTACAATTGCAATATTTTATTTGTGCACTGTTTGTTGTGTTCAGTCTACTACTGGCTTGAGAATGCGCTTTGCCTCAGTAATGTCCAGTATATGCCCTGCTACAGCTGTCTGTGTTTGCCCTTTTTGAACCCCAGCAGAGCCTCAGTGCAAAACGCCCTCACTTATTCCTCCCAGCTGCTCATATTTGGAAACAGAAAAGGGAAATATTGCGAGCATTTGTGACTGTTTTCTCTTTCCTTTTCTCTGTGTAATCTGCCTCGACATCCTCCTCCTCTGCATTGGATTAATTAGCTATTGCTTCACTGGTTATAAATAGCGCCGAACATCCAGTGGCCTTACGTAACTTCCCTTCCTCCAGCGTTCCGGGACTGGGACGAGGTGAGGTTTTCCGTGTGTCGAGGCCAGCCGCTGATGCTGGAAGGTCAGTGTTGGGGCAGTGCTAATGTCCGGAACAGCTGTAGCTCATCTACGGGCTGCCTTAACACCAGTTAACCGCAGCCTTTGAGAGTGGGTTAAATAATGACATGAGTGGGCAGGGATGGGATTCATGTCCATGTTGGGAGCGGAAAATGCATTAACTGCTTTAGGGGATGGTGTACACTGTCGAAGGTCAAAAGTTTGGGGACAGCTTTTGACAATTTTGAGTGATCGTTGAACGTTCTTCCTGTTTTCCGTTAAAGTTCTACCAGTTTTACAGTTATCCTCCTATTCAACCTGCAGCAGTTTAGCTCCACCCGTTCACACTGAAGTTATAAGGTGTGCTTCGGCCCTCTTTCTGAATGAGGCAATATACAGGACAGCCAATCAGAACAGAGCACATTTACATATATCAGTCTTAAAGCCACAGTACGAAAAAACAGAATGTTCAGTTCTAAATGATAAAGAGTGGTTTTGGAATGTTTGTGTGAAAATGAATTGACTGTTTTTGGTACATTGACCCACACAATGGTGCATTCGGACCTCAAGAAAGAAATAAAATACAGGGAAATGTAGGATATGGACCCTTTAAGGAAGAAAAGTATGTGTAAAGGTGTTGTTAGCATAAAACAGCTATAATCCCTTGAGTGTATTTGTCTTTAACATAGCAGATTTTGCCTAAATTTGAGAGTTTTCTTTTCCAACATTATTGTTAAAACCACATTGTGAAATGCTTAAAGATGGTTTAAACACCTGAAATAACTAAGTGCTGATGGGTGCTGACATCACAACAAGGGAATAAAATAGATGGCCTTCGGCTTTATTCATATGTAGTGGCTACTTTTGTGGCTCAAAGATGGTTTAAACACCTGAAATAACTGAGCGCTTGTGAGTGCTGACATCTCAACAAGGGAATAAAATAAATGGCCTTTGGCTTTATTCCTAGGTAGTAGCTACTTTTGTCAGTTATTTAACTGTTTTTAAAAATATGCACTTTTTTGGTAATATATTTTCTTTATGTTATTGCAATTCCATCTAAACAGTATGCTCATTTCTATTCAAAACATTTAGAAAAGGTAAGTGTCCCCAGACTTTTGACCAATGGGGACATGGTCTATATCACTCTGCATTCGCCCCTGTTGCCTTAGGACTGCAGGGCTGCCATTCATAAAGTTCGAAGCACAGGCTGCCTTTCCAGCCACAGAGTAAATCTGGTTTTGTTTGCATGGATTGCGAAAATAAACATATCATCCAAAAGTCGTTTTCCCAGAGGCAGCGTATTAGACTGAGCTTTCTGAAGTAAACACAATAGCATGCGTGAGTAAAAGCACCACAAATTAACTCCTGGATCTGTTAAACAGTAGTTCTACTGTATAGCACAGTCTCTCTCTAGATTAAAGCAGTAGTTTGGCAGAAAATCAAATTTACAAGTTTCCACCTTAAACTAAATGTAGTTGATCAGCCAAGACATGTTTGGTGTCTGAAGTTTGCTTCTTTGGTTTTGGATTGAAGCTTTGAGGCTGATGTAGCTAACATGTACTGGAAGCTTATGTACACCAATTAACATTGTGTAAACTGCATGCCTCAAACCATGTTGCGTTGTTCAATGATCCCAGATAGACTTGATTATGTGGTTTCTGACACTGTATGACTTACTGTTATATATGTAAAATAGGCAAACAAATAGGGTTGGGCGATGGCGATGGCACTGTAGAGGGGCTAGGGTTAGTCTTACGAAGGTACTATAAATACTCAACAGTCCCTAAAATGCATATTCATCTGTTCAGATCTTCAGGTAAGTAATGAGTAATAAAGAGTTTTCTGCTTTATGGCAGAGGCACTGGAATTATAGCAGGTAGAGCATGTGAGTGGTGCAGAGTGGGAGTGGAGCAACATGATTTTTTCTTGGAGTGTGGAGCGGCTTTTCAGAAAGTCCGAGCGTTAGTGCTCTCTCTCGCTCCAAAATCGCTCCAGTATTGCTCCAGTATCGCTACATCCCACGAGCCAGACAGTCCTTTTTTTCCACACTGACTACCTCAGTGACTACGAGTGATGCGGCAGTGACTGCTACAGCTCACAAATGATGGCCAGTCATACACCGCGTCTGCACTGCAAACTGTTACTCTTACACACACATTCTTAGCAAAAAGAGTTCTGTATAGTACCAAAAAAGTTTTTTTTTGACTTTAACAACAGTGGAACCCTTTTTGGTGCTATATGGAACCCATTTCACAAAGATTCTGTATGGAACCATTTACAGCACATTTTCCATCAGTCTGAAGAACGCTTTCATGACACAAAAAGAACCATTTAATCATGCAAAGGGTTCTTTGGATGTTCATAGTTCTATATAGAACCATTTTCTTTGGAAAAGCACCTTTCAAGAACCATCTTTTATAAGACTGCGGTTAGCCTCATGTCATCCAATTTGCTGCACAAGTGATAAGAAGAGCATGTTAAAAGTATGTGCATTTGTTTACCCTCTATACATTTTCCATACTGGGCCATTGCTTCAAGCCTACACCTGCCGAAAAAAATTCCTGTGTAGCACAGAATGTTTATCTAGTTTTTTTTTTTAATAACGGCCTAAATTATATAATTCATGAACAAAAGTGTGTAGTGTCTTGTCCATACATTCAAAGACATAAAACAAATATCTGAATGATGGACTATATGGAGTGAGGTTTCTCTGACATAAACCATGGAAGTAGAAAACCCCGAGCAATGGAGGCACCATAAGCAACTGTTCTAGCGTATCGCACCATGTTAGGGTGGGGAATAAATAAGGAAGTGGTGAAGTGATAAACTGCCGTGCTGACTGATGAATGTATTTGTTCTTATTAGGGGTACATGTTCCTTGTGTTTGCCGGGGCTTGTGAGTGCTGATGTTTGTCTAAAGGCCATGATTGGAGGTGCAGGGGTGATGTACAGCGGGGTTATAGTGCTGTAGAGCGTAAATGAGCATGCAGTCTACCAGCTGGAGTGCTGTTGATGGATGAAGTGTGGGTGTTATCAGCAGGAATCTCTGTCAGAGTCAGCAGCACTGCATGCAGGTGCTGCTTCCACACCTGCACCAGTTATCTACTGGAAAATAACACAGGACTAGCGATAATGCTAAATGTTAAAGCAGACAGCACCTTGCTGATGGGCTTTTTATCATGTACAGAAAGTAAATGCAGGGAAATTTAGTCCCTGGTCCTGGATTACCTGTGTATTTTGGTGTTTTTCTTGCTCTAACACACCTGATCTAACTAATTTACAAGCCCCTAAAGTTAACCTTATTTTACGTCTCAACAGCAACCATTCAGACTCTTTGTTGTTTGTAACCAGGGCTGAGGAGTAATGGAATACATCCAACAGTGTTATGTAATCAGGATGCAAAAAAGGTACAATTACAGAATAAAATAGTTATAGTATAATAAAATAGTAAAATAGATACATTATAAAAATAGGGCTACATTCAAACCACATACATGCCAACTCCTTGCCATTTGTTGAAAATCTACCGTTCTGAAAGATACGTCACATGATTCGTGAGGACTTGAAGAGCTTTTCAAAGAGCAAAGACCTAGGCAGAATATATATATATATATATTCACCAAGAGCTTTATTAGGAACACTGTACTAATGCAGGGTATATATATATACACAACACCTTTTTAAACACAAATGATAGGTTGATTACTGTGGGCTGCCGAAGCCACTGAGATAATACTGCAGGAGTTTTGAACTACTGATTTACACCAAACTCCATTTTCTGTCCTCAGTTTTCCCGGGTGCTAAAGAACAGAGCCTGGCCCACATTTAAGCAGGCCAAGACCAAGGTGTCTCCGCTCCACAGCAGCGATTTCTGCCCCACCAACTGCCACATTAACGTGATGGAGGTGTCCTACCCCAAAACCACCACATCGCTGGGCAGCGCCTTCGGGGTCCAGCTGGACAACAGGAAGAACTCCACTTTGGAGAAAGCAAGCCGAAGCACAGAGCAGGGTGAGTTGTGAGTTATGAATACCTCATGAGATTTTTAGGCTGTTTGTTCTGTTTTAAGATAAGTATCTGGACGGATCATAATCCAGTGAAATATTCACCAAGAGCACATTTAAATTCATAGAAGTCTCGACGTCGTACTGTTGTTTTGTTGTGGTATTTCAACATAATTGCATTGCTTACATAGTTGGGCACCCCTAGTCGAATGTCATGTTTTGTTGATCTTCTAAGTGAAAATGAGTTAACACATCCTCTACAGAGAACACACTTTTTAATGCACAATTACTGTTTATTTACTAAAAAAACATATTTATTTGTTTGAATCAGGTAAGCTGAATCCCATGGTGTACGTCCAGCACTGTATCGGCAGTATGGCGGCTCCGTCGGGTCACAGTCTGGGCCGGACAGAGGGACACGGTCTGCGCTTCTTGCTGAGGGAGGAGGACCTGCTCACTGTGGACGCTTACCACAAACTCCTCACCAAACTGACCACTGTGGTGAAAGAGATGGAGTGCTACGCTGCTCAGATTCATGAGTGAGCCTCAATAATTCAATTCTGTTCAGATGTATTGCCATTGCACAACTGTTCTCATGGGTACAACACACACTGAGTGGCCAATTTATGTGTACCTATACTCTCTGGCCATTTTATCAGAAACACCAAGTGTGTATATATTGACCCGCTCAAGTGGACCATGTTGCCAGCAATTCATGCAAGTCTAAGTCGAGTCTAGAGTCTCTGGGGTTCCCGTCCAGTCTTAAGTTTTTGGCAAAGAATTTTAGCTCAGTCTTGTTTTTAGCTGCAGGCATTGCTGTACTAAAGTAAACCACTAATAACCTGTCAGGTTCAACACAACTTCAAATAACAAGCCTTTCATTATGGAAGAACCTTCAGTCTGAAGGACAGAACTGATGCACTACGTGCAGTAAAGGCTAAATAACTTTAAACTGTTGGTTGGTCTGTAGTTTATATAGTAGTGACTGTTCATGACTGTGAGCAAAACTGACAGGCAAGGTCACACACTAAGGTTAGACATGAAAGATGTTATTCGTTTTACAGTAATATAACCACATGAAGGTTGGCAACCCTAATGTAACTAGTTTTGTTCTTTTTTTTTTTTCAAGTCATAAATCTTGAGTTGAGTTGCAAGACATTTCAGGGAAGTAGCAAGTCAGTCAGTGTGTGACTTGAGTGCGACCAGAAGTCGGTCACTCAGTTGTGTCAGCACTCACCAATGACGAAACAATACATGTGGATAGCTCTAAACTCTAGCTCAATAATAGTCATGCAGCATAGCTTTCTATTTTCAGAAAACATTAGATTAAACACTATATTGTTGCTGTCAGAATAAAACTTTGCATCTCCATTATGTTTTCTCTTTTTTAGACTGTTTGAAAATAACAGCTGTTTCTGTTTACACCATTTACACCATTTTCATGATAAATGGCCCAATAGAAATGGTCCGAAATGTCTTGTTCCTCCATTAACTCCCATTCAAATTTAAGCAGGTTTTTCCTTCTCCTCTAAAGCTACCATTATAGAGATGCAAGGTTTTGTTAAAAGTGGTTGTATATATATAGTTATTTATAACAGGGAGTGTTTATACAGTGTCCTCCACAAATATTGGCACCCCTGGTAAACATGAGCCAAACTGTCAAACTGTTTGAAGTCCAATGGGTCAATGAGTGAAATCTAACTGAAGTATATTCCTGTTCATATTTTATGTTCACCTGAGCAATTAGTTAAACTTGATTACAGCCATGATTTCCTGTTTCACTGGGGAATAAATATGAAAATAAAAACAGGCCAAATTCCCTTAGTCATCCATCACTATGAGAAAGACCAGAGAATAGAGCAATAATAAGTGAAGAAAAGTTGGTGCAACAATTAGGAAATGGCTACAAAAAGTAGGTCAACAGTTAAAAATGCCCATTTTCACTATCAGAGCAATAATTAAGAAGTTAACTGGAGATGTTTATTGTCTGCCGGGAAGAGGATGTATGTATACATTGACCCCTGGTCGAAGAATCTTCAAGGATCACAGCTGGGTCACTGTAGACATCAATTGTAGTTTACAATCACACACCACCTACATAACCATTGTTTGGAAGGATTGCCTAAAGAAAATCTCTGCTGTGAAGGACCAACAAACTCAAGCTCCTGCAGTTTGCCAGACGTTACTGGAACTTTCAGTGAGGCTGTGTTCTATGGTCAGACACTGGAGTTGAGTTTGGCATAGACACAAAGATAGCCATGTAGAAAAGTACGTCATTCCTACTCTGAAGTATGATGGTGGATGTGTGATACTGTGGGGCTGTTTTTTTTCCAGAGGCCCTTGACAACTTGTTCACAGACTCCATCAAGTACCAGCACATATCAAATCAAAACCTGACTGCCTCAGCCAAGAAGCTTGAACTTAAATTTATAACAATTCAGAAAATAAATTCAAAGCACACTTCAAAATCAACACAAAAATGATTAATTGACCACAGAATCAAAGTTTTCCATGGCCATCCCAGTACCCCTGATCTAAACCCCTTAGAAAACCTGTGGGATGAGTTGAAGATGAAAGTGCACAGGCATGGACCTCAGAATCTGAAGGATCTCCATGTGTTCTCAGTTCTCTTTAAGCATTATTGAAGAAGACACAGAGCTGTGAAAAGGGAGGCTGCACAAAGCTTTAAATGAAGGGGTGCCAACAATTGTGGTGCACATAGATTTGAAAAAAATACGTATTTTATGATAAGATTTAGTTGTTTTTTTTTTTCTTTCCATCATCATACTTCAAATATGGGGTAGATTTGTGTTAATATTTTGAATGAATGCTCAAAAGTATAAGGAAAAAGTTTTATTTACATCCTGTTTTGCTCATGTTTGCTAATATTTGTAGTTAGTGTTAAAAACAAGCAAAACTGGGCTGAAACCTCTGAGGGTTAAACATGCATACCCTGATAGATTGTGCAGCAACAGATGTGCTACTGTCTGTATCTATAAACCTATATTGTGGACTTGTATGATAGGTGTTTCTGATAAAATGGCCAGTAAGTGTAGTTACAAGGTAGGTGGATCTGACTGATTTGTGAATACTGCACTACAGCTAAATTCTTGAGTCCCTTGAAATTTCCCCCCCCATATTGCATGTTTGCACTTGGTGCTGTAAAAGGATGCAAAGATCTTTCCCACAAGTGCTACTGGCAATCCTAGCACCTGAATAATTAAACCATTATTCTTAAAACTGCCACTTCTTAGCAAATGTCCTGTTTGGTGGGCCAGAGTGCTTTTAACACTGTGTTTTATTGGAGTCATTTGATTCAGAGGTTCAGTATAGCACTTGATCATCAAAAGCTCATTAGTTTTCTATACGGCTGAGATTGCTGCATTGTGCTGTAATTGCACTGTTCTTCTTAGTTCTACATTAGAAAGCATTCAGCGTGGAGCTCATTACAGTACAGATGTCTTGCTGGTGTTGTTCATTGCTTTTATAGCCAATGGTGCACTTCGGGTAATAGCTGGAACATTTCAGCCGTTTTATTGGACTGCTTATGATGCCCCTGTTTTGTTTGTTCATGTTTTCTCAGCATTGTGTGAGGCTTTGTTCAGTCGAATGTCAGCTTGGGATGCAGACTGCAGGAAAGTTTGTCTTTACTTTTATACGTTTCAATTTCTCTTTCTTTTGCTCAAGTGTAGTAATTTGCAGCATTTTTCAAGTTCTGCCAGAAAGAAAATGACATTGATGTCTTTAGGCTAGAGTACACCGACAGGACAAACACAAACAAACATGATCAAACACAAACGTTTGGTTGGTGTGCCATACCAGTGTTTGATTGTTGAAAGACTCTTGTCCCATTCACTGTGGTTCTTCTTACTTGTAAGTTTTTTTTTTTCTGAACATTCTAAGAACAACTGCAGACATTACAATATTGATGTTTGTTCGTGTTTGTCCCGTTGCTGTACTCTGGCCTTTACAATGAATTGTGACTTCTGTTTGTTTTCAAATTAAGCAACAGACCAAATCAGAATGTTTGTAAACATAAAGGTTGGCTAAACGTCCGGATGGATATCTCTCGTCCAGTCAGCGGTAGAAGCTGCTCATTTTAAACAGCAGTGCGTTCAAACAGAGCAGACAAACCATTGACAGTAATGGTAAAATCTTGTGTTTGAGGCTGTTTTTAAAAGTTTTTCTCGTTTTCTAGCTTTCAAAAGTTGGTAGAGCTGCTATAAATATTATTAATCCCAGTAAAGGACCCTCTCGTCTGTGAAAAATCTGTGAATTATTTCATCTTTCAGGTGAAGACAAAGTCAGCAAGCAGAATCAGAATGTAAATGAGGATGATATTTTAATGTGGTGATCACTATTTTTAGATTTATTACGTTCTAGAGTTGCTAAGGTGGCATAAGCTAACATTAATAGTATTTATGCTACCATCCTCAGAGCAGGTGTTTCTGTTCATATCACACACGGCAAAGAAAAAAGTACGCATTGCTTGATTTGACACAGAAAGTAAGCAAACTAGAGAGTGAGGTAGCTAATTAGCCAAATTAGACACATCAGTGGGGATGAACTAAAATTAGAACTTAAGTTTGTTGGTTCCCGTTTGGGTCAGCTCTTCCCTGCTAGAAAAACTAGCAAAGCCCCCCGTAGACCACCATAGAACACCAACATATATAGTTTTGGATGCTGGTATGCTAGTCAGCAGCAATGGCAGCTGTTATGCTGATCTTCGTCAGAACCAGCATATACGAATATTTTGATGTTTGATTACAAGATCACTGAAAACATATTGTTTTTTCCAGTATTATAGAGTAAATAACTCTCACAGTATCAGTACAAAATCGTGTTGTTTCCATCCGCAAGTAAACTCTTTGCTGTTGTGGCATAATGTGGGTGCTGGCTTATAAGCCACCAGAAGCAGTGCATTACAGTGATTTTGCCACAGTTGAGGAATGTTATTAGGCACAGTGAGAAGCAAAACCAATATAGTTCTTTACCAATAGGCTGTGGTTGCCAAGCAACATAACGGTCAAAGATTACGCAGCTTTTTTTAAATAATCTGGTATATACAGGTTAATAAAGAATTCTTGTTCAAATCAAATTTGACCAAATAAGAAACTGTAGCACACAACTCAAAATACAGAAAATTTTGAGTATAGTTTTAGTTATAAATTGTTTATTTTGTTGCATGGGCAAAGTCACACTAGAAGGACAGATTGGGTGTGTTTTTTTTTGGCTGTGTAATCAAGCTAACGTTAGCACAGTGTGTCAGTGTCACTAATTTTTATAAGCTACTGCAACACAGTTGCAAACTGGAAACTCAATGTTATGTAGCAAATCTAAATTCCAATATACGTTGGTTAAGTTGAATGGAATTTTTGCCAAAAACCTGTAAAACTTGTCCAGCTTTGCTACAGTTTTTCCAAAAGAGCACTTTTGTGTATGGAACATGGGTAGCTCAACTGATGTATGTGTGTGTACTGATTTTTTCATCTTTTGCAGTGATTTCAAATGTGGCTCAGGTAATTAGATTTTAGAATCT